CTATAGAGATCTTCCACTTTGTCTCAAAATTCGTGCAGTACTTAGCTGATGCATAACATTTTTCGTAAGTGGAGTGGCTAGACAACACGTGAAACGTTTATGTATGGTAATGTACGTGTCAAGTTTAAAAAAAATTATTCACAATATAAGTTTTACGACTGCCAACACCTTCTGATTAAATGCTTGGATACGCCAGAATCTAAATTCTATAGCCATTATGGGTATAGTTAAATATAATGAAGAGGAAAAAAAATGCAAAAACTAATCCCAGAGGATAACACAAACACGCAATGCTATGTCCCACTGGCACCGTCCTAAAATGCGGCATGCCTTCAACAAACAAATAGTCATATATTCGATATTCCTACACCGAAAATTAAAAATCCCTTCTTTTTCGGAATTATATGCTCTAATTCGAAGCACGACCTTCAATAACTGTAAAAAAGCAAGATATTCCATTCAGACTGTTATAGCAGTCCGAATATGGATCGGACCACAAAGGAATTCCTAAAAAATAAAGTTTAGTGTCATCTTAAGATGACACTAAACTTTTTGAAATTTCAAAACATCCTGTCCGTAACGAAGTAATTACGTATTTATAAACTAGAGTATATAAAATTCTAAGAGTTTGTACGTTTGCGAAATGCGCGAAATGTGCTTTTCTGAAATTTGTTAATTATAATTATTATACAAGATCTTGTATAATAATTATAATGTAAACGTCGACGTTTACATCAATTAATTATTTATGAATAATGCAGCTATATAGCTGCATAAGTTAACTACGTAATTTTTGCTCTTCGAAAAACGGCTTATTATCTATAAGTCGGTTTATAACTGAAGAAGCAAATAGTCAGGAACATATGCAATTATATTTAATCCCACTGGGAGCTTCTAAATAGCTTCGTTTTTTAAATGTTGAGGCGCGACCTTGTGCTGATTAAACGAAACCGGAGTCAAGTTCGTAATTAAGACAAATGAACCAATTTCACCATTAGTGGTGCTTTTCGGAAAACATAAGATTGGATATTAAACTCTTAGCAGTATGAAGTTTATCCACGAGCACCTGTCTATTCCTTTTATAAACTGAAAATAAGGGAAGATATTTTGAAATCATTTTTGTTAAATTACCCTTCAGAAAGAGACCTCAGAACAAAAATTCACCTAGATATTTAAATTACGAACCAGGAAAGACTTTACCGCCGCTGTACCTGCACACTGGATGCATTTCCATTACGCCGTTCGTTCATTTTACAGTGAAGCAACTACTGTGATTTCGACAAGGAAATATAGTCTGGCTATTGCAGCTGGCGGATTCTGCTAATTGTGAGATAGGAAGTCAAGTTTCTCTTGCTCAGAAAATTTCTCAGTACACCGTATAGGAACGTCAAATCCTTGCGCGTGTTGATGGACTGGGGGCCTGAGAATCATAACTCCCCCAGTCGATCAACACGCGCAACGATTTGGCGTTCCCATACGGTGTACTGAGAAATTTTCTGAGAAAGAGAATCAGTCACGTGGGAAGGGCCGGGCGCTGCAACAACTCTAACGACAGTGGGCATCATTGTCGCGCAATTATCAAACCCGCATCCGACGTGGACTAGAACACTGTGACAATTAATGAGCAATCACCGCTCCAATTAAGACCTCAAGCGGGTGCTACAGGAACTGACAATTATAGTACGCATGCGGGTGACCCCTACGAACTATAAATACCAGCAATCTGTGCATGTATCACCCTTATCGGCGCATGTCTCAGACTTGTCTACGGTTACCTATGAATAAGGATTCAGGACAATAAGACTGTGATCGCTTCTTCGGCTTCTAAATCTTCATTTAATCAATGTATACTGTGAAAGTGGAAATTCGTCTGCTCGATAGCAATTTGCTAGAGTAAATCCAGATAAACTCCCGTAGTTGACACTAATGCAAACGCACCCCTCTTCATGGGCCTTATTAACGGAGATTACAACCGGTTGTGACGTCCGCCAATCATCATTCAGAATAGTGTCCAACACTGCGTTCTTCCAGAGTATTAATATAGCGGTGGTGTAAACGCGTTCCTTATGTAAGTCGTAAAGGAGCTATAATATTTATAAGGAGATGGAATCAAGTGCAAGGACACTATCTGACCAACTGACGCTCATGCATACACTATGATAGACATAACCTACGCACATTTGGGTCAAAATTGGGCGTATTTCTATTTTTACTTTGTTTAGGAAGCTATTGAGGAAATTTGCCCAGCTGGGTGTATGTCCATAAAAGAAGATAAAATAATTTTCAAGTACTTTACACTCGAATTTTACTAAACGTTGAATATAAAAGCATGTTCTTATGCTGATTAAAAGAAAGTCTAAATAAGTCCTAAATAAGTCAATTTATTTAATTTCACGGTAACTCACGTTTATTAGGAAAAATTTGTTGAAATATGAAACTCTTTAAAGTATAAAATAAATCTACAAATGTCTTTCTCTACCCCACTTAAGTCAGAGGAGAGGAAAATTGAAGAAGTAGACAGTTTCGAATACCTCGGCGCGAGGTTGTTGCCAAATGGACAGAGAAGCGATGACATTGTTTCCCGAATTGACGCAGCTCGCCGAGCTTTCTGTGGCCTTCGGAAGTTCCTATGGACCCGACGCGATATACCTCCACAGATAACTGCGTGTACTGTGCACCTGTGCGGTCGATTCTTCCAGCAAACCGTTTCGAGACTCGGGTGGCACACCACCTGAGGTTGGATATGGCTGACTGATGGTGGTTTTTGCCCGTTCCAAAACGGCAATTTAATATTAAATTATTTTGACGTTTTTCTAAGAAAAGGTATGGCTACAGTAGTCACAAAATAAGCAAAAGAGGTTTCAGATCTTCCGCTGAAAGGCGTCAAGGTGAGGGGTGGGGGGAAGTGGTCAGGGAAAGAAGGAGGTGGTCAAGCAGGAGTGCTTTCATTCGCTGCTCTAGTTTCTTTGCTGGTGAGCTGCTGCTGTACCGCCTTGAACACATATTCAGACATTTCTACGTTCTTCTGCACTTCGGGGGCTCCAAATGGGTGAGTATATACCAGAGCCGACCTAAAAGTGCAACGAAGTAAAAGAATGAAGTATATCACACGTGTCGTAGCTGCAAATTACGAAGATACTGGTAGTAAAGGGGGAGGAGGAGGAGGGAAGGAAAGGAGGAGGAGGAGGAGGAGGAGGA